TCCAGGCAGGGCCTTCCTTTTCCTTCTGGAGGTCCATGGGGAATAGGATAACTGTTGAATGCCCCCAGAGAGCAAGCACTTTTTTTTGCAAGCCAAATTATTTAGTTTTATGGCACTCCTCATGTTTCTCTTTTTACTCAAGAATTTACTATAGTTTATTTTTGAACATTTTATTCCTGTTTCAGCTGTCAGCCAGTTCTTGAGTCAAGAGATTTTGCTCACACTTAGGTCAGAATATTTAAATGATGAAGCAGAGCCCACCTGAGGCCAAGATGGCAGAGGTAGCAGTAATTACTGTAATGGCAGATGTGATAGTGCATGGGGCATCACTCGCTTCTTTGCTACTGGCAGAACTTCTAGAGCCAAATTTGGAAGTTTGGAGTATGCATGTGTGTGTGTGTGTGTGTGTGTGTGTGTGCATGTGCATTTAATTAAAGAAGGCTACCTTACCTGCCTGTGAGTTGACAGCTTCCAGAGTCTACTGCATACTCTTTCACTCCCAGAGCTCTCTCTCCTCTTGTCTCCTGATGCTCTGCTCGTTCCCTGAATTCAGTAGCTACTGGTCCACAGCCATCAATATGCTTACGCAAATAAGGACTAGTTATTAACTTTCTTCCTGCTATGATAAGCTCAGGAATCAAAAAACATCAGGGAAAAAAAGAGATATGTGGCTACTTGCAAAATTCCTGAAAATTTGACATTAGTCTCTCAGGCTGGTACGTAAGGTCTAGCACACCCCTGATTGTTGAACTAATGGATGACATTACAAGAAGGATTTCCTCTAGATTCTAGAAGTTTCATCAAAATCCAATCTCAAGTGACTAGAGCCAAAACAGCCTTACAAATATGTCAGAAGAATGAAAAACATGTTAAGATAGCTGTAAAAGAAGGTTTGGATGAAAAGCTCCATGTTTAGGTAAGCATAAAACTGCCTTATCAAGAAACTGAAACAGAGAGGAAAAGAGTGAACGAATTAAATGAAGAGAACAAGAGATTTTCCTGCTCCAACATATCTTCTGTTAGCCATAGAAAATGTCTCTCTACCAAATGCTAGGTTCATTTTCCTCTCTCTACATCCTGAGCATCCTGAGAGTTAATTCAACCTCCAAATAAGCTTACTTCTGAAGATCCAGGAACACAGCAATAATTTGTCTCTCTTATAAAATGTGATTTTGAATTTTCTATATTTTAGTTTCACAACTGTGAAGGGATTATACAAATTACTCAAAATGAAGCTTGATAGAGTTACAATTCTTAAGATAGGGTTTCATAAATATAGATGATTTCAATTTTAGTATTATGAGCAAATTATTTTCTTTTTATCCTATTTGTAAATGATCTAAGTATAGTATTTTTTTCTTTAACAAGTTCCCTAAAACAACTGTAATAGGAATTTTATATGAGCAAGTGGAGACATTTGACACAAATTGGGGATATTTTGACAAAGTAACTGGAGACATTTGAAACAGAGGCCATTTCTGTATATGCCCAGAGATGTACTTACTATTATTAAGTTATGGGACAAACACGAAAGCAAGTTGATGTTTACCTAAATAAACTTTAGCTGGTTTTTAGAAAATATTTCAGAGCCTTTGGAACCCAAGTATTTCTTTAATATAAAGTTAAGAGGCTTCTCTCGATGCGGAGTTTTATTAGAGTAAAAGTTTAAGCTCACTTGCAAAAATGGAGAACTACTTTTCTGAGTCATCTCCCCAATGTGTTTGTGAGTTATAAACTTTCTCTTTCTGCTACAAACTTTCTGACCAACAACCAACGCCTCTAGTCTTATGAGATTGTGGCGTTTGAAAGCAAAGGGCATGGAAAGAGGGCTAGTGCCGATGATGGCCATGCAGGGAAGGAGAACAGAGAATAAGCTGGAGCCCCTGAGCCACAGGGTGCATCTGGGTGGGCAGGAAACGCATGGGTTTTTTCAGGACTCAGACATCACCGCACCAAACTAGATGTTCAGGAGGACGGTTCGCATTCTCCACTTTAATCTGAACACATAGCTGAGAAAGGAAGTTAGGCAAATAAAATAATATGGAAAAGATTCATTTGGTTAACACTAGGTGGCAGTGAATGATAGTAGTTATTAGGAATAGGTCTTGCGTGTCATTAATAATAGATTATGGACATATCTGGACTGTCTTGAGTCTTGACACTGAACCCAAAAAATCACCTGGTCCACTCTTGCCTTGTTTCCCTGCTTTTATAATCCAAATGAAATATGAAACGCACTATGCTTTTCATTCTCTGAGCACAACTCTAGTTTTGTCTCTATCCCCTGCATTACACTCAGTTTCTCTATTCTTCATTTTAGTGCTGCCTCGTGTTGAGCTTATTCATATTTATACGCCCTAGGGTAAATATCATATATATATTTATAAGTTCTTTGAAGACAGGGGCCATAGTTCATGCGTTTATTGATTTAGTTGTTGTTATTGTCATCAATTCCTAGTCAAATGCTTTGCACTTGGAGGACTCAATAAATATTGAATCTTTTAAATGTATATTTTATAGTTTTTCTTTTCATTTTTCCACATGTGAAACAAGCCTGTGGCATGTGTCTTCTAACTGCTAGTCTTGTTTGCTAAAAGTGTATAATATTCCTAAGGGAAGAGATTGTGTTATACTTTTAAAACTCCTCAGGAAGCAGGGGCCGGCCAGGTGGTGTAGCGATTAAGTTCGCACATTCCCCTTCGGGGGCCCAGGGCACACCAGGTTGGATCCAGGACATGGACTTATGCACCACTTATCAAGCCATGCTGTGGCAGCATCCCACATATAAAGTAGAAGAAGATGGGCAGCCATGTTAGCTCAAGGCCAATCTTCCTCAGCAAAAGAGGAGTGTTGGCAGTGGATGTTAGATCAGGGCTAATCTTCCTCAAAAAAAAAAAAAAGAAATCCTCAGGAAGCAGTATTTTGGCATCTTGGACCCTCAGAACTGAAAGAGCTCTTACGACCCTGTGGTCCAACTCCATCCGTTTTCAGATGAAGTAACCAACGTCCAGAGAGGGTTAGGTACTTGTTTGAGGTCACACAGTTCATTAGTGACTGCACTGGAAACAGAACCAAGGCATCTTGGCCTGCATAGTTTCTTTATTACTTTTTAAGCTCCCTGGAAGAAGTAGGCGCTGACTGGAAGGTGAAACGTCCTGCCTAAGGTCATTTCCTCCCTCGCCGGCTTCTGTGGCTTTGAAGCCTAGAGAGAGGGGACAGAAGTCCCACGAAGGCTCTGCACATCGCGGTCAGGGCAGGAGGTCAGCGAGGTGAGATACCATAAGCCACTGAAACAACCCTCCCCCGGCAAAGAGTGAGCGTAGGCCCCCAAGGGTCGCTGCCTTCGGGAGCAAAAGGTGTCACCACTCCTAAACCTCAAAGGGGAGGGCGTTTCGGGACTCTTTATCTGTGAAGCTGTACATAACCCCGCCTGTCACCACCACCACCATCCGGAGGCGACTCTGCGCAACAGACCCGGAGTCGCTGAGGGGAAGGGGCATCCCGCGCCCGCCCCTCCACGCGCCTCCCGGGGCGCCTGGGGGGCACGCCACCTCCCGATCCCCGCGGGACGCCCGCCCAGTCCCGGCCGCTCCCACCTCGGGCTGGCGCAGGAATGAATGCTCCCCAAATCTCGGCAGGGCAGGGCCGCCAGTCCAGACTCCCTGACTCTGGGAGAGGTCCAGGGACACTGAGGAGCAGGGCGGCTGGCTTAGGGGGCTGCTCTTGCTGGCGACCCGGGCGGATGCGGGAGAAAGGAGCATTTGAACCAGGGGACCTGACTCGGTCAGCCCTCCTCTGCTTCCCACCAGCTCCGGCTCATCTCAGGCTTACATAAATATACACTTGCTCTTTGAAATGGTGGAGCCACGCTGGTCTGCTGCTCAAAGAAAAAGAATACCAGGAAAAAAAAAAAAAGACCTCAAACTTTCCTAAGCTTAAGAAATCTGCAAAATTGAAGGGACTAGGGCCTTTGTGGGAACTCCTTTTAGCCTCTGATCGTCCTCCAATAAGTATTTGTGGGGCATCTCCTAGGTGTCAGGACTGCTTTAGGTGTGAGGGTTACCATGGTGAATAGGACAGATGGGATCTCTTGTCTCAGGGAGCTGAAAGTTTAGCAGAGGAGATACACATGGAGGGGGAAAGCAGTTACATGATCAAATACCGGTTACAGTGGAGATAACTTGCAGTGGTGTGCAGGAGCCTGCTGGCATTGGCTCCCTAGAGGCAATTTTTAAATCTTCAGTTTTGTCATCTTGTTAAACACAGGCATGCTTGCAATCAGCTAAGGTGGTAGTACTTAGACCACTGAAGTCAGCAAATGGAGCAAACCAGCCCTTCCCCTAGAGCCCTGTTGTCAAGCCTTTACACGCACACCACTGGAGATGTGTATGTCTTTGCGGAGGGGCTCCACCTTGCGGTGGAACAGGATACAGACAGTATATGCAACTACCAGGTGGGTTGGGGGGGTGGGGAGAGAGCCAAGGCATTTGACACTAGGGTAGTGTAGGCACCAGCGAGTGCTGTGTCTTTCTCTCCATTAGTAATCCAATGCAGGAAGGATTACTTCCTAGGCCACCTGTGCCAATCAGGTGGCCAGGGAGAGGCAAGGGAGCAGTGGTGGGGCACCCACATGTGGCACAGCATCTTTGCTGAGCAGAAACCTTTGGGTTGTGGAGGTCTGCTGAGTTCCGGCAAATGCGCCAAAGCACCCTCCCAAACTTTTGACATAAGCTTCCACCACCAGGACTTTGCCTGATCTACATGCCTCCTGTCCCATCAGCAACTTCACATTTTCTTTAAACTGACTTGCTTTATACACATAAATATTATTTTAAAGGAAACTTTAAACACTACCATTAATAAAAGTCAATATTGTTTGTAATAAATAGAAAGCGATCATAAAAATAAATGCAATGAACATGATGTGGTCTACACAGAAATCGAAATACAATGATGTACACCTGAAGATTATATAAGATTATAAACCAGTGTTACCTCAATAAAAATAAAAATAGATAAATACAATGAAAACAAAACAATGCTATTAAAATCTGGTTCTGATCTTGAGGGCTAGTGTACAAGATATACTGGGACCACCTGGCAACATTCTTTTGGCGGTCATTAGAATAAGTGAAATCAAATTAAAAAGGAAATAACTTCATCAATGTGCGATTTGACATTATTTAATGTCTCATCTGAATGCCACTTAAAATTATCTTGTTACCAGGGGATCATGATGATGATGACGGTGATATCATCATCATCATCATCATCCTCACTTACTGAGTGTTTCCTATTTGCCAGGCACTGTTCTAAGTAACTTCCAGTTTTCTATCGTAACTGGATGCTAATGGAGCTCTCCTTTGTTCAGCCTTTGCAAATTCTGTTGCAATTTTACTTTGGTCTTTTTCTACTTATAATGCTTCAACTGATTTTATTTCTACAGATCCTGTTGGCAAACAGAATTCACTACTGTCATAATTATCATCTAATGAGCACACAATTAATCCTTCTAGTTAACTGATGGACGTTACTTTAAATACGTATCTTCGTCCTATTACTGTGATAAATGCAACAAAAAAACTTATTTCTCCAGAAATAAAAATACAATAAAATTAAGCTTTCTTGGCTGACTGATTCATTTATTCGAAAGATATTTATCAAGTGCCTATTACAAGGAACAGCACGTGGACACAGGAAGATCTTCCCTGGCTGATGGTCCAGCCAGAGCCCGTGAAGTCATTGTCTCTCCCAGAACGTGGACACAGTAAATGGATCATGTCGATATCATCAATGATCTGAAAGAGTTTGCTTAAGGGCAGAAGGAAGCCAGGGGCTGAAGTTCATGATTGAGAGACTAGACTTCTAAAAGGGGAAAATAATTAAAAAGAAGTACAGCATGGTGATTATAGCTAATCATACTGTTTCATATACTTGAATGTTGCTAAGAGAGTAGATCGTAAATGTTCTCGCCACAAAAAAGAACTGGTAACTACATGATAGGATGGAGATGGTAGCTAATGTTAAGGTGGTAACCATTTTGCAATTTATAAATGTGTCGAATCAATACCTTGTACATCTTAAGTTGACACGATGTTAGGTGTTAATTATATCTCAATAAACCTGGGGGGGGGGGAGTCCATTTTCTTCTTGTCCAGTATCTGATGGCACAAAGGAAAGGCAAAGTCTTTTATTGATTCATTGCCCAGGCAAAGTTTTTTCATCATCTACACTCAGGGGCCCTGGCCTGCCTTCCTGTACGAGCCAAGGCTGGGGGTGAGGGGTAGGCACAGTCTGAGGACAAAGCAGGCCAGCCTTTCTCAGAGCCAGAAATAAGGGACTGCCAATGAGGATGGTAATGGACAGAGGCTTCAGGGCTGCCCCAGACCAGACCCAGTGTCCGCTGGGACCCCAAATACCACCAATAATTGAATTGACTACAATAATGACAATTTCATCCACTTGTTTTTCTTTTACCCAATTCAAGATCTTGTCTAGTGTTTTCCTGATGAATAGCCATCCCATCACCAGCACAGGCAAAGTCTTAGAAAGATGGTTCATATTTAACTTTATACCTGCTTCTTCTAACGCCTGCCTTAGCTGGCTTTCTTGGTTAGCACAAAATTTTTCCATTTTGGTTTTATAGATTGAAAGATTATTGTGGGTTCTATTATTTCATTTGTTCCCTTGTCTCTCTATATAAGCTCATTTCTCCCAATATGTTTAATGAAATATTTCATCTAGACTTCTCCACACCTTGGTTGTCTTCTGGGTAACAGGCCCACTTATTAAGGTGTCCTTTAAAATGGTGGGAGGAACAGGAGCTTTGTGGCTCTTCCCTGACCACATCTACAGAGGAGAGTGCGCAGCCATGTGTCTCATCACTATGGGATATAGGATAAAGACATTAAAAGAAATGTAAGAAGCAAGAACATAATACCCGGGAAGGTTGACCATTTACAGGAGAGAAAGCCAACACAGGGCCGAGCAGGGACAACCTTTGTGTCACACCTTCTGTGAACAGAAGCCAATATTTTTCTATTGAATTTTTTCATTTTCCTATTGAATAATGGCAATTTAATGCAGAATGTGTGCTGTTTTCATTTAGTTTGAAGATCTCAAAGTTAGGGATATGCCTGTTGTAGTACTGAGTACTTGGTAAATTACAAGCTGAAAGCAGTTTTAAGTCTGATCCTACAAACACATTCTGAGGGTTCATTTCTTTTCACCCATTAGTGAAAATCTTCCAGTCACTTTTAGGTAATAAAAAGTTCACTCTGAAAATGACAGGTACTCACCTAATTTAACACATTTCCCTTATCCTAGCCTGGCTTGCCTGAGAAGCCTGCAGTGTGGAGAGAATGTGGCATACTTTGCTCCTCCTCTCTTTCCTCATCAATCTCTCCTTCCACGTTCAGCATGCTGCCTCTGGCTCCTACAGGAAGGGGAAAGGAGAAGTTTTCACTGATTAGTCCAGCTCTAATGTAACATTGCTACTCTTGGGTATGGCAGACATCCAAAGCGGACTCTCTCATGGGATGCCACTGTGAGTTCTTGAGTCTTCTGCTGGGGACCTCAAACGGTGTAAGTTATGTCTCCTTTGCCGGTCATTTTGTCTCCTTACCCTTTACCTTTTATATTCAACATCATATAGACAGTCTTTTTTGGCTTAAGTTCCTCCTCCCTGGTGGGAAGTCCTCCAGGGAGTGGTCCTTTACAAGATAGTTAGTGGCTGACTCCCCTCTGTAGGGTCTACATGTGGCCCCTGGGAAGTACATACCCTTAGCCACTTGGTGGAGCCGCAGCTGGCTCCCTACTCTGCCCTCTGAGACTTTAGAAGTATAGGATTAGAGCAGTGGTACCCAATAGGGCCAGAGAATGGGGGACAGCGACAGTGTGGTTGTCACAACTGAGGCAGGGGGAATGCTACTCACATCTAATGAGCATGAGGCTAAGCATCCTATAATGTACAGGACAGCTCCCACAACAAAGAATTATTCCCCAAATGTCAATTGCCCGAGGTTGACAAACATTGGATTAGAGGAGCAATATTCAGGACTCTATAAAAGTCTGTAAGCCTCTTCAAGAGTTAAGACTGAATCAGAACAGAAACAGAAAAAGAAAAGGGTCATCACTTAACTGTTCTCTAGAATTTCCAGAAGATCTGGCCTATTTATCTCCTGTCACTGTGCATGGGCTCATTCATAGATCTAGTTATAAGATTATAAGATATTCTCGAAATATGTTCCAACTACCCACGTGGATGTCTCTCGACGCTAGATCAATTTCTCATTAAGGGACTTTTGCTAATTCTTAAACTACCTCCTTACTTTGCATTTCTGTAAGTCCAGTCAGCATCACATCTGAAAATAGGAAGATTAGTCAGCATTGCATCTGAAAATAGGAAGATTAGTCAGAAACCAAAAATGAGTGTTTCTTGGGTACTTGCTTTGAAGGCAAAGGGCTTAATCACCAATTGCAGTTGCTTTCCGAAAGACATTACAGCAAGAACTGGGGCACAAAGGCGGGGCAGTCAGTCAGCAACGCAGGGCCCTAACTGTGCTAATAAAGCTGAAGGCGTTGAGGCCACACCAGGCTCAGCCTCGTTAGTTGAGTTGCTCACACTCCAGCTGGGGAGACTAACATTTCTTTCAATCTAACTAAACTTAACAGGTATGGTAGAATAAATTGCATTTCATAAAGTTGGGGGTGCAGAGAATTGTCCTATTTCTTTGTTTTATAAATTGAATCATTGTCCACTTCACATTTATTTCAGATGTTGCTAGGTCAACAGACAGTGGACAACAGAAGAGAATGGACTGGGCGCTGCCATAAGTAGCAGCTGCGGGATGTGATAGAGAAGGAAAAGGTGTTACCTTACAGTGGAAAGAAATCACAATGTGTGCAGCTGCAATCACAGGGTTTTGGGAGAAATATGTAAATAGAGCAATGGAGCATAAACATGATGAGGAAATGGGCGGGGCTGAACTGTGTAGAGGTTAGAGTCAACACAGCTTGTTTAAAAACCAGAGATGGTCCTTGTAATTTCAGCTCTTGTGGGTGCAAAGGGGCTATGTCTGGTTCCAGTCTGTGGTAGCAAGACCCTTCTTTACCTTGAATAAACAGGAAATTGCAACCAAAGAATGCACTCTAAGACAGACTAACCTGATCCGTATCACCCTGCACACTCTGGATAGTGGGGCTTCCAGATTCATAGATAAATACTTCAGGGTTTTAAATGGTAAAAGGCGGGATCTGTTTATCTCTGCATTGTGTACTGGGGAATTAAGACAAAATTAAGGAAATAACTTACTGTTACAGTAAAGGCCCTGCATGTAATGTTTATAATATAAAATTCCTTTCCTTAGAACATGTGGGGACTATGTTGCAGGAACTTTTAAAATAAAATGCAGAACAGAGCGCTCGTTCTGCAGATGAGAAGCTAAATACGCCCCATGCTTCCCCAGCACCTATGGCCTGGAGACGTGGTGTCCTGTCCAGCAAGTCAATTTCAACTGCAGGCTCTCCATGCCTGGATTTTATCAGAGATCCACTTTTTTGTCCCTCTTGAAGAACGTGCCTTTATTCAGACATGGGCTTGTGGGGCTGTGGCGTAGTGGTTAAGTTTGCATGCTCCACTTCCTTGGCCGGGGGTTCACTGGTTCAGATCCTATGGGTGTGGACCTATGCACTGCTTGTCAAGCCATGCTGTGGTGGCATTCCACATAGAAGAACTAGAAGGACTTACAGCTAGGATATACAACTCTGTACTGGGGCTTTGGGGAGAAAAAGAAAAAAAAGAGGAAGATTGGCAACAGATGTTAGCTCAGGGCTAATCTTCCTCACCAAAAAAAACCAAACAAACAAACAAAAGGAAATGGGCTCATGAAACACATGCCCTGAACTTCTGTTCTGAGCTTTTGTTCAGGGAAGCTGTAGCACTACTTGTTAGAGGATGCATGGAGCACTGTGTCTCAGGGTCCCACAAAGGCAATAACTAGAAGTGATCTCAAAGAAGTCCTGAGATTGCTCAAGGCTGAGCAGATAGGAAGGGACAGGACAGCACTGGCACCCTGGGCCTCTGATTCTAGGTTCGGGTTATGTCTGTTCCTCCCCAACACGGATGATCCCAGATCTTTCTACAGCGCTGTTCATAGACCCACACGAGTCTGAGGGGTTCTCTGGGTCAATCTAATAATGGAAACCCATTTGCATGTGTAAACCAAGACTAAAGATATCCTAACTAAAGGAAAGAATGAAAGACAGTCCACATGTACTCATTTTTCTGGAAACCTCGGAGAGGTGGCCTAAGTTCCCCAAATGTGCCCTCAGCGCAGCCTAATATCACTTTGGCTTTTAGTATTTGAGTACCTTGTACAAAGAAAACATGTTTCTTGTTATAGAAGCACAAACAACATTAAGACCAACTCAAGTACAATTTAAAAAAAACCTACGACCTTCCTCTGTTTGCATTTAGTTCTTCCTTACTCTCAGTGTGACTTCAGGCTGTTATTCAACCTTATGTGACTTGGTTACTTCTTCTGAGAAAGGAATAAAAATACCACTTCCTTGTTAGAATGCAGATTCCTGAGTCCCGCCTGTAGAGATTCGGTGGTTGGGAGTTCTGGCCTAGGAACTCGCTTTTTTGGAAAGTTCCTCATGCGATCCTGATGCACAGCCAAGCATGGGAACTATTGGTCACAACAATTCCAAGAAAATAAAACGATTATCTCGGGAAAATAAAAGGCTTTTATATTTGATGTTAACCCAAACCAGGCGTCAACCTGGGAGAATATTACTTTAATTCAAGAAAGGTTTAAATTGAGTATGCATAATTTCATAGGCTGCGATAAAGAGGGAAAAAAGCAGCAGGCTCTTGGGTTGCCGACAGGATTTTTCTCAGCTGATTTGTGTAAAGTGTTTAGAACAGTGCTGGGTACATAATAACTGCTCAACAAATGTGAGCAGGTCTATTTAGTGTTGAGTAGAAATTGCGTTGATTAGTTTAGGAAAATTTCAAGTGATCATTGAAGTGGGGAGTAGTGAGCTCTTTATGTGAGCAAAATGTCTTTCGGAAGCTATCTATAAATATCCAAGCACATTAAAACTTCATCCAGTATGTTAACTTCTGATATTTTCCCACCAAGCAACTTCTGATAGTCTCTTCATACTCTCATCTTATTTTTTCCTCTTTAAAACCAATATTGACAACCCTTTGTAGCTTTTTGGAAAACAAATACCAAAAATTATATGGAAAGGGCACATGTTCTCATGCAAAGGAATTAGAGCTGAAAAAATCCTTTAGATCATCGAGCCCAACGTTGGCACAAATGTTAGAAGAGTATTTTGAAATGCATACCAATTAAACACACATGAATCTGTAATAAAACGCCATAAACTGGTCCTGCCTTGCACGTGTTTGTGGGACGAGATGCATCTGAAGGTATAAAACGCGTGGTTTTGATTACTTCATTTCCCCAATTGGGCAGCACATTCGAGTTTCAGGGAAGTCCTTGTTCTTCGTTCACGTTTCTGCACCTTGCAGGCGTCAGACCATTTCGTCCCTATTCTTAGCTGGGATGGGGTCACACTTAGCAGATACAAAATAACTAAGGAACTTTTAGTAATGTTGCTCATGTGCTAGGTCATTAATGCAAGACCACTTCGTGACCCCTCGCGACTGTTTTAACCCTTTCTTCTCCCCAGTGTGTCCCTCAGCCGGAACACCAGTCACTATTAAAACATGATTATAAATCATGGTTATTTGCCCACTGACCTTCTTACAACACCGTAAAAAGAAGCTGTGTGCTCTGAGGGTTCAGGCCTAACTGACACAGTGTCTCTGCTGTTGATGAATATTTATGGAAGCCTTATCTTATATTTTTAACAGCAAAGCTCGGGCTCTGTTTTACCGAAGCTGTTTATATATCTAATCAGAGTAGATCAGGAAATGTGGTTGACAGCATAGGGCTGCCTGAGAAACATAATATTTGCTGGCCAGCATTAAGGCGACCTTTCAGCGAGAGGCATGATCAATGAAGTGTGACTGAGTCTCTGTTTAGATGAAGGGAAAGAGCGCATTGGTGGCCACATTCACCCCAAGCAAGTCGTTTTCCCTCTTGCAGGCTGCAGTGAAAAGCTTTCCAATAAACCGATGACAGGATTAAACACAACCAACTCTTCAAGTGCCCCTCATACGGTTCTTGGCCACAGGCTGGGAGGAACCTGGGTTCTAGCTCGGCCCTGCAAGAAAGAGCAGCCTGCATTCCACCCGGCTGCCAACTAGCTGTGTAGCCTATGACAAATTATTTTATCTCTCTGAGACTTTGTTTTACCATTTGTAAAATGGAGATTGATTAGTCAGAATTTTCCAGAGAAATATCTATGCATGTATCTATATAACTAGAGAGAGGGGCCGGCCCGGTGGTGCAGCAGTTAAGTTCGCTCGTTCTCCTTCGGCGGCCCAGGGTTCGCCTGCTTGGATCCCGGTTGCAGAGATGGCACCGCTTGGCAAGCCATGCTGTGGTAGACGTCCCACATATAAAGTAGAGGAAGATGAGCACAGATGTTAGCTCAGGGCCAGTCTTCCTCAGCAAAAAGAGGAGGATTGGCAGCAGATGTTAGCTCAGGGCTAATCTTCCACACACACACACACAAAAGCATATGTATATATATAAATATATAACTAGAGAGAGAGAGATTTATTTTAAGCAATTGGTGCATGTGATCGTGGGGGCTGGCAAACTGGAAATCTGCAGGGCAGACCTGCAAAGAGCTGATGTTGCGACTCGAGTCCAAGAGCAGTCTAGAAGCAGAATTCTCTATTCCTCCAGGGGATTCAGTCTTATTTTCTTAAGTCCTTCAACTGGTTGGATGAGCTCTTTCACCTTATAGAAGGTATTTTGTTTTACTCCAAGTCTACTGATTTGAATGTTAATTTCATCTAAAACATACCTTCACCACGACATCTACACTGGTGTTTGGCCAAAAACTGAGTACCACAGCCTAGCCAAGTTCACACATAAAATTAACCATCACAGGGGACCTTAATAATATTTCACTCAGAGAGGTTTGGGGGAAATTAAGTGTTAATACCTACAATAAACTTTGCACAGGACCCAATAACTGACTTTGTGTCCCAAGATTTTAGGCAGATTTGACTAACGGTTTAAGATTAAATTTTGGAATATTAGAAAACGTGCGTTATCGTCTGGTGTAAGTTCAGCGTTACCGTCTGACAGCATCTGCTTCAGATTCCTTCTCAGCCACACTGATGAGCCTCCAGCAATAAGCTTCGGTGTCCCTGGAAATTGAGGGGTGACACATTTGTAGCAAAGCCATATTTATAGGCTCATTGACCTTTTAAAGACTCACCTTCTGCTCTTGAAAAACAATAATGAAACTTTGTGAGTACAGTCAACTTTTCACGGATGTTTTCATACCACGCGGCCCCAGCAGTTGGGAACGTGGAGGAGCAAGTTAAGGGCTCATTTAACATTGTCTCACAAAGCGCCTGTTGCAGAGCTGGAAAAGGGTGCTTAAGAATGCGGCTTCCATGTACGTCTCCCTCTCTGTGGTATGAAATATGGCCTCAAAGAAAACTTCGTTGTTTCCATTTCAAGGTCCTTTTGTGAGGAGAGACGCTGGGCATTTACTGGTGGAATGCTACCTTTCCAAGATTTATTAGGAGTCGTGGAGGGCTCAGTAAACTCGGAAGGTAGCTTTTGCATCCTACAGCACTCAAGACTGATTTAATTTCATGTCAGTCCTGGAACTGCAACCACAATATGAGCTGCAAGTTTATAAATTGCTCCTTGGAGCAGCTGACCTTGCAGGTGGGGGAGTCAAATGGGGTGGAAAAGCAGGGGAAGCTGGAAGATTGAGAACTGGTACACTGAGCGAGCAGATACATTTCACCGAAGCACTGGAGTTCTCATTTGTCCCCAGTTTCACCCCCAAACCTCTTCTTTCCCTCGTGTTTGTCTCCTGCCTAAAATATTCATTTTTTTTTTCAGAAGGACGTCAGACGCAATAGTGAGGGGGAAACTGGATTATGCTACCATAGTGTGTAGGGTCTTCTGGATTTTCAAAGATTATTTCATCAAACTTCTGCTCACGACAAACTCAGAATAAACAAAGTAAAACCTAATTTACATCTCCCCTCACAAAAGAATCCCTAATGGGAATGTTAAAACAAACTGATGTCACTACGAAAACAAAGCTCAAACTCAGAAGCACTGAATTCTTACAGGAGCTAGAAAATGGGATTTAGTTTCACAGCATCGATTAAGTTGTGTTTAAAACGAGCAAGCAACAGACAATGCTATTGGAAGGAAACCATATATTGAGTATCAGGATGTCTCCTAAAAGTCTATTCGTTCCATCACAACGGAGCGTTGTCTATGCGGGTGGTGACAGCCTATTCCCTTTTGTCACTTGAGATTACACTGGGCCAAGCGTTTGTGAACAATGTGGTGACAGCCTTGCCTTCGTGACAGGACGGTCATGGTAGTTTGAGACGTATTTCCATGTCTTGGAGTGCATACTTATGGCTAATTCTAAAGAAACAAAAAAATAAATGTCTTTTAGAAGAAGTGTAATCTAAAAAGAAAGCTTAAAAAAGCAAAATAATAAAAGATATTGGCACAGGTTGCCAGTTGTAATTTTTCATATTTGAGGTACATCCTCTCATAGCCTTCATGGCATTCTTATAATTCATCAACTAATACAGATCCATAGTCACGTGGTCTCAATATTTGGTAGAGAGATCTGCTGTTTGTGTCAATTGCATTTCAGATATTTAGACACATTTCTAGATTGTAATTTTGTATGCTTATATTTTCCCTAGCCAACGTTTGTCTCTGCATGGCACTATATTGGGTATTTTAACAATTAGAGAACGCGAAGAAGGTAGAATCATAACTACATATTTATAAATCTCAAGATTTACCAACATCTACACTCTTATGAAGAGATCACATTGATATAGACAGTAACACACACACACACTTCCCCAGGAGGTCAGATGGAGGTTAATCTGGCACAGTCTTACCTATTCCTGTGGCATGTGCTCATTGCCGTTCCCTCAAATAAGGGAATTTCTGTGTGTGTTCTCTCTCATCTGAAGTCAAACATAGAAGAGCCACAATAAATGTATTTCTCATCCCAAACTTCAGAACAGAAATGTGGGTTTCAGTCTGAGGCTATTGCGGTCCTCCTGACCTGCATTTCCAGCTCCTCCCTCAGCATCACACAATTATACCAGACTTTTACCAGGTGCAATTCACATCTCGCAGGCATTGGGACACATTTCTCACACCTCGGCTGTACATTTGCTTCAAGACCCAGCGTGAGGACAGCCATGGAGCATATTCATTTACTGAAGGGACATTGTGTGAAACAGTGGCCAGAGGAAAGGATGAAAAGTACGGATTTCTCTAGTTCCAAAGCACATTTCCATCTCTCCTAGTTGCACAACATTGTGAATGTACTAAACGCCACTGAGTTTTTCGCTTTAAAATGGTTACTTTTATGTTATATGAATTTCACCTCAATTATTTTTTTAAAATGTATTTGTCCACAGAGCAGTCATCCAAGTGACCCAGTGTCCAGCAACATCCCCTCCCTCCTCTCTTCCTCTCTTTTGTCTGTTAGTTTAATCCTCCTAGAATTGATCCCATGGACCACGCCAGGGCCTAGCCCATCCCCAGGCAGGTGAAGTGCGGCCTCCTCAGCCCCTGCTGTCCTCTTCTCTGCTCCATCAGGGTCCCCAAACCCCCCATATCCCCTGGCTACTTGGTACCTCCGATCCCAGAGAAATGCACCTGAGAACATATTTGGAGGCAGTGGATTGATGTCTTACTCCCAAATGTTAGAGTTTTGTTCAGCCATTTATTCACCAAACATATTTTGAGCACCTAACCTATGTCAGACACATTGAGTGCTGGGCACAGTGATGAATATTGCGGGCATGTCAGTGACCCAGACAAGTTAAGAAGTCATCCAGGCTCTCAGGAAGCTCAGCCTAGTGGGTGGGTAGGTGGGGGTAAGTGTAATAAAAAACATTACACTACAACATCGTATGTGCTATAAGAGAGGCTGTTGGAGTGCAGAAGAGCAGTCAGTGAAGGCTTCACAGAGGTGGTGGCATTTGAGAAGGATATTGACCGGTATGTAAGTTTTTTTCCTAAGCCAAACAGAAGAAAAGTACAGCCAGGAAGAGAACAGCATGGGATTGTGAAAAAGCCAGATATATTCCAGGAAAGGTGAGAATTTAGTGTGCTTGATGCAAAAGATGTGTGACGGTGGCTGAGGGGATGAGGGAGGGAGAGCTTAGGAGCAGCCTACCAACAGCCTCGGAGTGGAGACGTGATCCTCAGAGGCTCCAGGAAATGGCTAACTGAGTGGAGAAGGACAGAATTTGGGAGGTATTTGTGATCAATTGAGTGTCAAGGCTGGTAAGTGAGAGAGAACAGGATACACAATTTTCTAGCAAGAGCGCTATGCGGGGGGTCGCCCTGTTGGACTGTCATTGCTTGTAGGAACGGGGAAGACCTGCAGTGGCAGATACCAAATGTTGCGGCAGCTGGAATGGGAGAGCAGGGGAAGTTTTCCCTGGGACTGTCTAACATCTCTTTTCAAATAAATGACAACTGACCCCGTTGAAGAAGTCCCGCCAACAGTATGGAAAAGAAGAATTTGTGTCAAACTCCACAAGCTGAGTTAATTTTGATGATAGTTACACATTATTTTCCACATCCAGTTATATAATTTGCATTCAAATTCCAAACTAAACTTCAATCTTTGACTCAAAGTAAGTTTATCTTCAATTAAACTTTAAAATATGCAACTTCGATGGAGAATTATTTTGTTTGACAAGGACCTAAGGAACAAATAATCTGTTTGGAGCCAAAATAGCACAGAACATTCATCTAAGAAATGCTTTATAAGAGGTACTACAATTTTTTCTAGAATATGTTTCCTTTATCAGATCCAACGGGTCAAATATGAAATAAATTACTTCTTTCAATGTGAAATTCCATCTAGGTCAAGTTACACTCATATTCCATGTGCGCATACACCTACCTGTGAAAACAGCCAAGCATCTCCACAGCCAACGCTTGACATATCATCAGCAGCCTAACCTTACAGACCCTAATTTTACAAGGCAAGAGGCAAATTTCATATAAAGTGACTTTCATTTGGTTTTTCTCTTTTGTTTTATCTTAATAACATTTCTATGGTAAGCATCTCCTTTTAAAAGTGGGGAGAAAAGTAACAGTACTACGTAGAACTATAAATGAAGCAAAACTAACTTAATGAGAGTTGACAAGAACTAAGTTAACTTAAATCCATTTACTGTGTGTGCTATGCTACAAATAATCCCATTTAATAGCAATGTAATAGTCAGAATGAAGTTCTAGCTGTGAAAATAACCAAATAAAAACATTCAAAACATTGGCATTTAAAAAATCAATCCGAATATTATAAAAATTAGCAACTTTCTTACAATAATGAGATAAAGAAATCTCTCCTATTGTGAAAGAAATTATAAATTTAAAGCATTTAATTGTACTGTATTTTATGCAGTCAATAATAAAACTAATGTTGCTGAGGTGGTTCGCAAATATCAAGGATGAGCTCAATATTTAATTCTAACCTGTTAAGTTAAAGTCAGAACATTTGGACATTTGGAAATGGATTTGAAATTTTGTCCCCAATTTCCAATTATGCTTTGTCCTTCCCCATGCATAATATATTGAAAGGGAAAGCATAACACAGCAAAGTTCCAACCTAACAAAAAGGGGAAAGTTGGAAACTCAGCTTTGACTTCTAGGAAGTCAGTATGTCTAAATAAAAGTTAAATTTCATTACTATAGGCTTTACCTAGGTGCCCTACTTTTAAGTGAAAAGGATGCAGAATTGAGTGCCCAGTGTAGAATGCGAATAAAATAAAACTTGTCATTTACACATCAGAAGTTTTGGAGTTTTGCTCATAGGATTTAGGCAAAAAATAAACAGAATAAGTAATTCAAGAAAAGTATATTTGGAAGGGATCTGAATCGTCTTGATTTGCAGCCTTCCAGAAAAAGAGCTGCCGTGATTTTTTGGTAACAGTTTAGCTTCTAAAGCTGAAATACACGTTTCCTGGATTTATTGAACATTTTCTGATAATATACTCTCACAAAAAGTATGCTATTAAAGGCTTTAAGGTTAACCTTGGAGATATGTCAGTGTACCAATAAAAGATAAAAAATTATCCTAATTTAATTTTGTAAATGTCATAACAAATTACTAATCAAATACTTTTAAAGTGTCACTTTTTATATAATAAGGACTAATTACATAGTTCATTCTATAAAAAGTTGGAAGCTTAAATCAGGTACTATTCACTGTCAGATACTAATGAAAAATAAGGATTTATTGTTACAGTAATATATAAACTACTTGTGTGTGTGTAGATAAGCTTTAAAAATTCTAAGAACATTTATTGAGCTTTTCTCACAAGCCTACTGAGATAGAGGGGAAGAAAAACTACTTTTAATGCAGTTTCTTTTATATTCAGACCATGCGGTAGGACTTTATATCTATTTTCTCATTTAACCCTAAAGCTATGAGGTAGCTGTTGCTACTCCCTCAATGGCATAGCTAAGTGGAGATATTATCTTTAAAAATAAAGTCTGCTAAACATTTAAAGAATTAATGCCAATTCTTCTCAAACTCTTCCAAAAAATTGAAGAAGGAACATTTCCAAACCCATTTTATATCTAAAGCATATTTGCTAGTGCACAGGATATTAACTCTTTCTTTCAAAAGTGATGGTGCTTAATTTATGGAAGTGTTGGAATTCTGAAGGTAAGTCACAGAGTGGTAACGAGAAAGAGAAAACTGAGGGGGCAACTTTGCTTCTTTGGTGTGCCTGTGAGGGAATTCAGTAAAGTTACCTTGCAAAAGAGTGAGATGGTACTCACTGGGTATGGAGGTCGACCTCAGGCACGGCCAGGAGGATAAGGTTGTGAGTTAGGTGATGGACTTAAAGGCTACCTTGTCCAAAAGGTCCTGAAGGCTCTAGGGGCTGAGGGGACAGTAGGACAAGTGCAAGGAAGAGCATCCTTAGTGGGGCAGAGGAATGGGACTGGTATGAGATTAACAGCAGCGCACGGCAGCAGCCTGGGAGGTTGATTCATCAGGTGGGTTACTTCCAGACTCTGTATCTGGCTTCTCTTCTCATTACCTAGTACCATCCCCTACCTCAGCTTCTCATAATCTATTCCCAGATTAATGCAATGCTCCTTTTCTGGTCATTGAGCCCTCCAAACCATCTTCCACACCTTGGTAAGACAGTCTTAAAGAGGAGCTTTGGTTGTATGACGTCATTATGCAAAACTACTCAGTGGCTTATCATTACCACTGAATCAATTACAAATAGATTTAGTTTGATATTTAGAAGCTTTTAAAGTTTGGCTTTAGCCTACATTTCCAGGCATAGTTCCTTATTATTCTGTCTAGTTTTAATGAATATTTAAATTTTTATTTAGAAGCTGTATTTCTCATGTATTTGAGAATCAGACAGTATTACAAGGTTTGTTACAAAAATAGCAGTCCCTGGTCCCAGGCGTGTGCCTCTCTGACTTTAGTGGATACTCCCTCCAAAGTGATTGCACCACTTATATTCCCACTAGCAGGAGAGGAGTTCCCTCTGCACCAACACTTACTATTATCAGAATATCTGCCAAACCTGTGGGTGTGAAATTTTATCACATTGCTATTTTAATTTACGTGTTTCTTCTTACTAGTGAGGATAAGCATATTTTGATATGCTTATTGGTCCTTAAATACAGATCCTTTGCCTATTTTCCAACTGGGTTGTGAGACTTTTAAAATACATTCCTTATACGAATTCCTTCTTGCTAATTACATTGTGTATCTTCTCCCAGTCTGTAACTTGTCTGTTTGTTTGTTTACAGGGGATATTTTCATCTCATCAGTTTTTAAAAATAAGAATGTAGTAAATTTCATTAATCTATTCTTTTACATTTTATTCATTTTATGTTGTGTTCAAGAAATCTTTCCTTATCCTGATGTGACATAAATAAATTTAATTATATTTTCTTTCAGAAGTCCTAAAGTTTACTTTCCAAGTTGAACCGCTTAAATCACCTGGCATTCATTTTTGTAGGCAGTGTGAATTTGGGACCTAATTTTATTTTATTTCCATATCATAGCCAATTTTCCCCGAAGTTTTAACTTAATAGGCCATCGTTTTTTCTCTTAATTTATAATGCAATATTCCAGCTAATTGTAAATGTGCTAATTTACTTTAATAGACTTTCTAACGTTAACTCCTTGCATACCTATGGTAAACAATAACTGGTTCTCATATATTTTTCCAGCACTTGGTGGGTTTGATATGTAAATATTTTATTTGGAATTTCTTCTATATTCAGAAGTAAAATTTAAATTATGGTTTTTTTCATTGACTCATGAACTGCTTAGAAGTGATTTTAACAGTCCGAAAGTATTTGGAGGCTATCTTTGACTAACTATCCCTAAGTTAATTGCACTCTACTCTGAGAATACAGTCTCTCTCCATGTACAGAAATTCCTTGATATTTGTTGAGATTTACTTTGTGCTCTAATATGTGACATATTTTTGTAAAGGTTACATTTGTCTCAACACAACATTCTACTGATAGAGAGCTGTATGGATATGTACATACTTGCACAAGTGTAAACAACCTATGTACATGTTTTTATGAGATCTCAAACCTTGGATATCATTTGTCATCCTTAAGCTCTGTAGTACCAATTGTTGAAAAACAAATTCCAAAAATCTACTACTTTTGTCTAAATGCTCACGTCCTGATGCTGAGTGCAATGCGTTAGGAAAATGGCATAACTAGAAGACAACATAATTACCTAAAAGAGAAAAATGACTGACACAAACACTGCACCAAACACCGACCAGAGACTTAAGACTTGAGGTAAGTCTGTTGGAATCTACTGTCAGGCTCTAGGGATTTTCAGCATCTCTATTTTTATCTTTCTCAAAAGACCGTGCAATAAGCACATTAAACATATTTACTGTCATTTTAAATTCATTAGTCAGAAAACAGCTGTTTACTATCTTCTGAATAACTATAGTACATCAAAATTCCATTGTCAAGGCACCTTAATAACATTTTACCAGTAAGCTATTGTCTTATTTCCTTTAGAAAATGAGCCTTTCCTTTAGAAAATGTCTTTAAATGAACGGACATTAGAAATCAGCCAAAATCAAATCTAATATACTACTGAAGAAGATATTCAAATGGCAGCAAAGTGATGGTTTTCATTTGTCAGAAAGTCAAAACTAAAAAGGCCAGTAGTATTCAGCATCAGCTAGTGTGCCGAGAAATGGGTGAGCTTGCCCACTGTTGCTGGGAGCAAATACAGCAAATCCTTTGATCAAGAACATTTGCTTATTTTTGGCTGTTCAGTGTCTACTCTGCTCTTTTTGCCATCTGTATTTCAAACTGCTTTTGAGGAGAATTCCCCGTTGTGTGTAGGCTTGGCAGCAGCTCCTGTGGGGCTGCCTGGTGTAGCGGTCAAGGTTGTGGACTTTGATGTCAGACAACCCCGAGTTTGATCCTTGACTTTGCCATTTACTCTATCATCTTAGGAAAGTTGCAAACTTCCTTGAAACTCACCTTTATCAGTTATTGATGTCTATATGTGAATCTTTGTTACATTTGTTCCAATGGGACAGCCACCTTAGGTCAGCTTCCAGTCGAAGCTGGGGAAAAGCAAACAGAAGAAATGGGTCCAGGTGTGGAGAACAGAAGAGAACTGAATTAACTGAGTCCCTACTGTGTGCAGGTACTCCCAGGTACTTCACACACATGGTCTCATTTTAACCCCCACAACCATTTCATAAGACGGCATGCCATTAGGATGCCCATTCTAGAGATGAAGAGATAGTCATTCCCAATGCCATATAATGTTTAAATAGCAGAACCAAGATTTAAACTGAGGCCTGTCTGAAACCAGAGGCCATATATTTAACCACTATTTAACACTGCTCCTCAGGGCTCAGGAAACAGTGAGGGGAAGCCATGAAGACTCCAAATAACTAAGGGAATGGGGATCTGTGTGGGGGAGGGAAGGCTGCAGTCCAGCTCATCTTGACGGGTGGATTATCGGCCTAGCCACCCAGTTCACCACAGAACCACAATTCCAGACAGCAGGTCAGCAGAGCCCGCCTTCAATGCTTGAAGAATAGTTTCCAGGTGCTCCTGAGGATAAATAAAACCAGTAATAAAAGATCCCTTCAGAAAAGTAATGAGATTATCTGAAATGGCCTGCTTTCTTTCTAGGAAAGAATCAGAGGGATATGTCACTAAAAAAATGTGATATAATACAGAAGGAATGGCTGGACATTAGGAAATATTAATCTCAAAAGAGCTTTAGACTGTTGCTTACATGAAATATATTTGAAATCAGATTTGGAACGCTTTGCTATATTTGAAATAGATGAAGAAGAAACTATGCACAATATGAATTTATTCAATAACTAAGTCTCTCTCCAAGATCAGTGTTCTACTGGAGAACAAGAATGAATACTCAAGGGGCAAAAACAGGGCTTCAATTATTATTGAATCAGTATCACACATTCTTACAAGAAGTGAACATATTTTTTAATAACTTCAATTTTATTCACCAAGGAAAATACTAGATTTATTTATGAGGTGAACATATTCAAGATCCACAAGCCCTAAAACATCCCCATTTTATAGGAATTCTTTTGACGTCTTCATTGTCACCTGCGCATGTCAGGTCTGCTGCTACCAGTTGCTGGCAAGGTATGAACTATGTGGTACAAACAATGACCTGAAATATATAACTGAGATGATTCAGCTACAATGAAACAATGGATAAGTCCAGATACCTGTAATCTTTAAACAAAACCCCCAAATTTTATAACAAAAAAGAAAATTCAATAACTGTAGAGAAAAGGACTCATTCACTAGAACAAATGAATAAAATTCATAATAAACTTGCTGTCTTTGTCAGCGTCGGTTGCTATAACAAAATATCATACACTGGCTGGTTTAAATGACAGACATTTATTTCTCACAGTTATAGAGGCTGGGAAGTCCAAGGTCATGGTGCTGGCTGGTTCCGTTCCTGGTGAGGGTCCTCTTCCTGCCTTACAGATGGCTGCCTTCTTGCTGTGTCCTCACATGGCAGAGAGAGTGACAGAGCTGTGGGGTCTCTTCCTCTTCCTGTAAGGACATTAATCCCATTGGGAGGCTTCACTCTCGTGACCTCATCTAAACCTAATTACCTTTCAAAGGCCGCACCTCCAAATACCATCACATTGGGGCTTAGGGCTTCAGCCTATGAATCTTGTGGGCACACAAACGTCAGTCCCTAACACCTGCCAACTATTAACTCCAGAAGTATCATCCCTCAGAAAACTATAAGAGCAGTTTCTGATTTCAACCAATTCTCTGTAAAGTTCTTACTTGCACTAAATTTTCTCTCGTAGTTCCTGCTCCCTTACCTAATTTATAAGTTTACTCCTTTTTAATTAAAATTGTCCACTTTTGCCTAATAGTGGTCCTTTCACCCATGAGAGCTGTCATTTATTTCATTCATCTATCACCTGGCATGCAAAATTGAAAATCATTCTCTTTTAACGAATGAAAACCCATTAATAGGCTATACACACACTTCCTTTATGTACACAGATGTAACACAAAAAATCTTTTAAAAACAAACCACAACATGTTTAACTGAACTTGGATTTCTCCACACAAGAGAATCAAAGGGTGAACTGGCCTTCTAAAGGTGTCAAATGCACTCCATGATAATCCTCAACCTTTCCTTGTTGAAGAAGTGCCCCCAATTGATCCAGTGTCTTGTCATCACGCACAGGGCTGTGGGAGAGACTGTGGAGGCTGAGACAGGACCAGGGGTGGTGGGTGCAGAGCTGTGGCTGCCAGCTGGAAAGCCTCTCAAGGAATGTTTGGGCATTGCTGCCTGTGTGCTGTGCTCCTACCATAGATGGGATGTTTGTGGCCCCCTCAAATTCACAAGTTGAAATCCTAATCCCCATTGTGATGGCATTAGGAGGAGGGGCCTTTGGGAAGTGATTCAGTGATGAGGACTGAGCCCTCATGAGTGGGATTAGTGTCTTTATAAAAGAGACTCCAGAGAGATCCCTTGACCCCTTCCTCCATGTTAAGACACAGGAAGAAGAAAGCCCTCTGTGAAGAAGGAACCCACTCTCACTAGACACTGAATCTGCCAATGCCTTGATCTTGGACTTCTTAGCCTCCAGAATTGTGAGAAACAAATGTTTGTTGTTCAAAGCCAATCGGTCTATGGTATTTTGTCATAGAAGCCTGAATGGACTAAGATAGAAAACTGCTACTGAGAGGTAGGGTGCTGCTGTAACAAATACCTAAAAGTGTGGAAGCAGCTTTGGACCTGGGCAATGGGTAAAGGCTGTGAGAGTTTTGAGGTGCCTGCTAGAAAAAGCCTACATTGCCATGAATGGACCATTAAGGGCAATTCTAGTGAGAGCTCAGGAAGAAAAAAGGAAAGATACAGAGAAAGCCTCAATTTCCTTAGAGAAAACCTACGTAATCCTAAACAGTAGTTTGGTAGGCAGAAGGATGGTGAAGGCCGTTCTGAAGTCTCAGGTGGAAATGAGGCACACGTTTATTGGACGATGGAGGAAAGGGCACTTTTGTTAGAAAGTGGCAAAGAATTTAGCTAGATTATGTTTGCATCCTATTGTTTTGTGGCAGGTAGAACTTATGAATGATAAAATTGGATATTTGACTCCTCAATTGCTAAGCAAAGTCTCGAAGGCGCAACTTGGCTTCCCTTGACTGCTTACAGTAAAATGTGAGAAGAGAGAAATGACCTAAAGATAGAATTTTTAATCAAAATGAAACCAGTGGAAAGATACCATTAGGTATCTAGTAACTACAATTTTTAAGGCAGTTATTAATTGTAGCTTTTAGTTGTTTGCCTGCCCATTGTTAGCTGTGCTGCTTAGGAAGTATACTACCCAATTCCCACTAGGTTCCTCTCAGATAACATCCCTGACTCTCGGGTCATTACGGTAATGGATGCTTGAGTTGTTTTTCAAGAACTAAGAGTTGACTCCTATCTGGTTAGGCTGGTCAAGACCACCAACCCACCAACTGGGTCTGCGCAGGTGTCTGAGAGATGAACTCTTGACGTCAAGGAACTAAAAACTCCACTCTCAGATCATGCTGACACCATCATTTGGTGAACATGTGTCCTATGTAGAGCCATGAGGCTTGACCATGCTCATGCAGACCATCAATGACCTCACTCTTCCTTGTTTCCAATCGTCTATCCCCACATCTCAGACCACTCAGCCTCTCTACCTCATAAATATCCCTAGTCCCCATTTTCGGGGAGGCAGATTTGAGATTTGTTCTCTCATCTCCTCACTTGGCTGCCTTGTGAATAAATCTTTTCTCTGCTGCAAACTCATCATCTCAGTGATTGGCTTTTTGTGTGATGGGCAAAATGAACCTGGTCCAGTAATAGAAAGGGAAGCAGAACTTAAAAATTTGGAAAATTCTCAGCCTGTCCATTTTGTAAAAAATGAGAAAGTCTGTTCAGGAGACAATAAGAAAGATGTGGTCAAATTTGCTAAGGAGGTAAGTCTGGGCTGGCATTGTAAACAGAACTCTGGTGCTGTTTACCAAGGCAGTGGGGGGATTAGTCAGCCATCTAAACAAAAGGCAGGACCTATTATTCAAGACAACTGGAAGAATGATCTCGTAGCCATTTCAGAGAGCATCAGGGCTGCTCCTCCCATCACAGGCCCACAGTGCAAGGGCCTGTGAGGCAGAACAATTTCAAGGAAGGGGCCACTGTTGCCCAGTGTGCCTTGCAGCCCCACACCATGGACTCTGCTCCCACGCTCCATCCCTGTGCTCTTTGGTCGTCCTAGATATGGCTGTGGCAGGACCCAGTGTACTGTGTAGTACGCCCTGCGAAGCTGTGAGGCTGTGGCTGCCTCCACCTAGATTTCCAAGGATGGAGCTGCCTTGAACTCCTCTGTTCACGCAGAGGGTCATCTCAGGAGTGGGGCCATCACAGAGAGCCCCCACTGAGGCAGAGTCTAGCAGACCCATGGGAGTGTGGCTGCCCCCACAACTGCAGACTGGCAGAGCCACCAGCTTGCAATTCTAGTCCAGGAGAGCTGCAATGTGGGCTGTGCCCAGCAACCAGCAAATTCAAGGGGGTTCAACTCCTGCCCCAGAGTGTCTGGATGGTGGAAACTCTGGTGGGCATGGAGTGCAGAGCCTTGAGTCAATGAAGATTATTCTCGAGCCTTAAGTTTCTGACTTGCTTGGGACCTGCCACTCCTTTCTTCTTTCCTATTCCTCTCCCTTGAGATGGGAATATCTGCGTTATGCCTGTCCCACCATTGCATTTTGGAAGCACACAGCTTGTTTGATTTTACAGGTTCACAGTTAGAGAAGAAACTGCCTCAGCATGGATTGTACCTGAGTCTCAGGCAGATCTGACTTAGACAATATTTAGATGAGACTTTGGATTTAGACTTTGGAGTTGTTGATGTGAAGAAGACATGAATTTTGGGGAGCCAGGGGTGAAATGCTATAGATTGAATGTGCTACCCCCAAATTCATATGTTGAAATTCTAACCCCCATGGTATTAGGAGGTGGGGCCTTTGGGAGGTGATTAGGTCATGAGTATGGAGCCCTCCTGCGTAGGAT